GTTCAAGACATCTGGAGAAACATACATCCTCTACGTCGTCCATCAGGCTACCGGAAACTAGACACCCCATATCGGTTTCGCAGCCGGAACTAGCATATGCTAACGTGCACATAGTCCATTAAGTACCTGCTCATTTTGTATGCAGTTTGGAACGCAGCCAATGAGTTGAAGAAACGCCAGCTAAAACGAGTGTCTGTTATAAGATTTTATATTTTGGACATTTTTATTGACAGAAAAAGGGATATTCTGATGTTTACCGTGTGCAGAATTTTCAAAACTCATCGGAACATGAATTTTAAATCCAAACAAAGCCAATCCGAGAAAGCTGCAGCTGTTAAAAACACACCATTATTTTACCACAGGGTGTCAGTGTTCGTCTACATTAGTGACTGCGACGCTGAAGTGTGTGAGAACAGATGATTAACATTAGCAAGAAACACGAACATTTATTTATTTATTTGGATTAAATATTGTAATCGTTTTACTATGTACATGTTCATGAGAGTGATCAAAGTTTTACATTGCGGAACAGGTTTCTTTCACATTTTTTCACAATTGCCAAGACACTAAACCCCATGCTCTGAACCAAATTCTCAAAGACCTAAACCCATTTGTCGAACAAACCAGTTTCCGTAAGAAGTGTGGACTGTGTTGTCCACACCAGAGGGGTTACCCATTGCCTGGCCCGAGATGACATCGCCTGTGATGTGGATAAAGTCCTCCACAATATTCAGCAATATTATTGATCTGAGCTGGATGATGACATCACTGTTTTCTCCAGAGCTACTGTATAGATGAAAGCAACTGATTTATGAATTGATGACACAGGAACTGAATCAACCTGCAATCTTCTCAAAACTTTGGATTCTGATAGAGGGCCATGAGACTTAGACCTGAGTGCAAAAATGGAGTCTCTAGACCCTTCCAGAGCTGAGATATCGAATCTCAAAAATTCGGCCCGAAAAAAAAAAACGACAGTGGTACCCCTTTCGTTTTTTTTTTTTTTTTTTTTTTTTGGGGCGAAAAATTAAGTTTCTCCAATCTTCTCAAAACTCTGGATTCTGATAGAGGGTAATACTATAATTTTCTGTAATACTCAAAGTTTGTGTGTTTTAACGTGTGTGTGTGTGTGTGTGTGTGTGTGTGTCTGGGTTGCATGTGTACAGTATAAATGTATCGATACATGCACAGGTCCAAGGGCTCGATGTTTGCAAGCACACATGCTCATATGTGTACATGAAAATAATGAACATGCTCCTGAAAACTAAATTGTTTTGTTATTTTCAGTCTCTCCCATTCACTTTCAATGGTCACCCATTGTGACAATTTTTGACCATGCCTACTCTCAGATAAATGAGACCCACGATTAATCAGATGCAAACAGAAATATAAAACCAGTCCTAATTGAAAGAGAACAAGTTGACAAAAATATTGAATCCAAGATTGGGTGAAAATATGGTATAATAAGTGATTTATAAGCTATTTTTTATAGGCCGGTCATTTTTGACCGGGAACACCACAATGTTCCATATTTTTTACAAAACAAAAGTTTCAAAACAAAATTCCTGGTAAAACATTAGAGCAGACTAGTGTGATGAACAGTAGCCATTTTTTTTTTCAAAAAAAAAAATTAATGTTTCCAAATTTACTCATAAATTATTATTTTTTTACTCAAAAAATGAGATGCCTACTCTCAGACAAACGAGGCCCACGATTAATCAGATGCAAACAGAAATATAAAACCAGTCCTAATTGAAAGAGAACAAGTTGACAAAAAGATTGAATACAAGATTGGTTGAAAATATGGTATAATGAGTGATTTATAAGCTATTTTTTATGGTCCGGTCATTTTTGACCGGGAACACCACAAGTGTTATAGGGTTTAGAGCACCACATGAGGGTTAAGATGTTTTCTTTACATGTGAAATAAAGAAAACAGTTACAAACTGAAACAGGAAGTGTTTCTGGACCAGTGTTGTTTACATCTTGTGAAATGGTCTATAGGGGGGAGTACTCTGGGTTCGGAGCCCTCCCCCGGACAGCAAGCCAAATACGCATTCAAAGTATATTGATTTCATGTACGTGTGAACTCGTGAATTATGTTTTATGATTTGTGTATTATGAAGTAACGTTAGTTCATGTTCAACTTTATTAAGATATTTGTATCCAGCGTAATAAACACTAAAAATATACACCACAATATAAAACAAGATAAATAAGAACACACAACAGTGGGCTACATATAAATTTAAAATTTTAATATATACCATTCTGAGTATTTAACAATCTGAGTGTACAAGGGATAAATTAATATTTGTATAAATTGTTCTTCATCTTTGATCGTTCTATAGCAAGAGCAGTGCAAAAAAGTCACTACCTAAGAGGATAACTGTTGAATAAAACTGACAGACTTCTTTCTGGTATTCACATCAAAATGCAGTTTATTGTAAATAATAGTCCCTAAATATTAATAACTTTCCACACACTCCACCTTCTTACCTTTAATGAACGTATATTGGGAAGATTGAGCTTCAGTTCTGAAATCAATAGTCATATCTTTGGTCTTAGATACATCAGCTGCTGCAGACAAGCATCATCACAGCTTTACAAAGTCATCCACAACTGGACCATGAACCATGACAAGTTTACATTTTTTTGAAGTTTTGAAGACTCTCTGATCAATTTTCTCTTCCCAGGGTAGGTTTTTCTAATGTGTTGACAGTTGACGGGAACTCTGTTTCCACAACGATTACGTATTTCCGTTTTTTGTGAAAAAGGTCTATTGTGATTCGGAGGATGAACCTGATCCATATACACTGGATACTGAGCCCTCCATCGGGAACAACCGGCTTGCGAATCCACATTTGAATTCATTCATGTTTTTGAACGATTCGTCTATGAAATGATGAGAACACAAGGTTCGGGCTATACTGTTGTGGTATCGTTGCAAATATGAACTCTGACCACTGATTCTTCACATGCTCGTCCCTGGACAATGAAAACAAGTGGCTGAACTGTCTTTGCATTGTAGAACAGCGTCTTCTCCACATGATGCGATTCAGCTGAAGTATTTGAATCTGTAGACTTCAAGTTTACACTTCCGTCTGCGCACGGCCAATATGCCAATGTTTCGTATCTACGTCATGATGTAACAGCTAATGACTCGTTTCAAAAACAATTAATTTCACAGACTCAAGAGTCGACTCTCACTTTTGAAAGACAATAACTTTATATACGGTGCACCTTCAGATAGAAATCTTTGCAAGATGTTTTCATTCCCTTACAGCTACAGTATATTCCACACCATATGAACAGTCATTTTCAAAAATCCATGATAGGGGCTCTTTAAGTTTTGTCTGAGGCACTTAGTGGAGACAAAAAGAGATATTTTAGCCTGTTTGCGACGGGATTTGGGAAACCTGGCCGACCCTTTGTCAGGATTTAGAAGGATTCCCAGCAGATACAATTTTACTAGTTGTGTCCTCCTATCTATTATGGAAGATCAATGTTGCAGACTGATCTCATGAAATGGCATTTGTATGACACGCCAATTCGTATTTCCATTTTTGGCGTGCTATCAACTCGCATAATCGCTTTTCAGCGTGTTCATGAACGCCGTTGACTTAACGTTACATTACTGTACATATAAATATATGACCTACCCCAACCCTACCCGTCACTGGGGTTAATAGCGTTTATGAGTCTTCCCCTACCATCCTAGGAAAATAAATATCACTCCCCAGATGTAGATCTACATTTTGCTTCGTTTCACTCGGACATTTAACGGCGTGTACATACACACATAGCTCAAAATGTGTAGAGATAACACGCCACTTGACTTGAAAGTGGTGTATGTTTACGCAAAAGTCATGATGTCATGTTGGAAGTACCTAACTGCGAGGGGATATCAGCCGCGTTTGTGGGCAAACATGAAACAACAGACGCTGACATCGCAGCTGGCCGATTCAGTATTGTGTTCGGATCTCAGCTTTGTCTTTAGAGTCGTGTCCACAAAATAATCCGTGTTTGTTTGTTTTAGATGCTTTGAAGGTCTCTGAACAAAGTCTGCATACGTTTCGTACTGATTTACTCGGTGTTTTGATCAGATGTGGTAATGCAGACACCATTGTTGTTATACGTGCACGAACAGATCAATGACGTACTGCTTGTTTTCTTCTCCTTCTTTGATTTTCTATGCTGACTGACTTGTTGCACGCCGGTCTGTTGTTGTGGGGACATTTCCACGCCCCGAAACATGACGCTGAACGAAACGAACTGTAATTGGTTGTTTGACATGTCGGCCTTGGCCAAAGAAAGCTGCTATGAATTCCAGACCTTCAGCGGTCAGTGTGAAGGTCTGGCTACGCGAGACTACGCGCACAGCACTCTTTAGATGTGGGGCAGGGCGTTTACATTTTAAAGCGACATGGCAACTAGCCAACTTAAAAAAATATAATGTAAATAATAAATTTACGAAATTTACAGTCTCCATTGCATGCATTTAATCAGATTTGTTATTATTATTTTGACTAAAATAAAAATATCTGAGGGACCCCCCTAATTCTATTTTTTATTCGAGCAAAATATCAGGTCAGGCGTTCTGAAGCGGCGATCAGAGTAGCCGCGTCTGCTCCAGTGAGCTCGCCTCGCGCTGCCGTTTGGACTGAGCCGAGCGGATAAACAGTCCGTGAGGCGCACAATGAGTTTCGTTCCGCTTTTGGCACTCTAACATTAACGAACTCGATATTGATATCAAATGTTGACGATATTGACACGAAATTGTTATTGTTTTATCAATCGCGATAATGAATGAATATGTCAATTTAAGACGTGGCTAAATGTAATATGACCTTGTATGTAAAATCTGAACGTTTTTATGGCCTATAATTCTTAGTATTAAAGCTAATGACTTACATCAAGAGTCTTTCCCCCTGAAATTTAGAAATCTGCAGATGCAAACAGATGGAGGATAGTGGGTTTAAACAAACTGCATCTAAATGTGGATTTTGAGGGTTTTATTTGATGATGAGGATACAGTCCTTCCTCAAATGAAGTCCATGTCACCATCAGGTGTATCAAATATACTTGGTTGAAACTCTTAGCATAGAAAACATGCTCATTGTGGCATGGTGTCATTTGCTCTATAAACCTATGAATACTAAGGAGACAATGGTTTCTGTGTGGACTGATTATTTTGTAGACATCTTTTCAAAATGAAACAATTGTGTGAGTTTGAGGAAGATAAAATTAATTAACTTTTTAAAAAAATTTTTAAAGTCATAAGCCTATTTACGGCCTTAAAATTATGAAAAGTGAATTTAAGACATAAGGACAGACGGGAACCGTGCAATTGACGGAAATCCGTCATAGACTCGGAATAGTTCTGCTGTTATTGCTGCTACTTGAATGTTGAGCAGCAAGCTCATTGGCTACTGATATGGCAGGAACCAATCAGCTGGGTCCTGTAGAGAACGATGTGATTGCAAGCAGTCTGGGTGGAGGTATCAGCCTGCACCACCTAGAGTTTCAGGACAGAGCTTTGTGTTTATTCTGTGTCTGAGGACGACACTGCTTCAGTGGTTGCTCTGGACACTAGGTCACCTCGCCGAGAGCGGATGTGTCTGTCCGCAGCTGTGGTCAGTGATCTGTGGCCTGTGGCAGAGGTTTTCCTACTCTTGATGTGTGGGTCAGGGTTCACCAGATCGCTGTCGTTACCCTCATCTTCCTCCTCTTCACTCTGGCCTTCCTGGGGCTTCAGTGTCTTCGAGCTGAACTGGCTCAAAGGCTTTCCGAGAATGCCAAAGCTAAAGGCAAAAGAAAGTTGATACAATCAGGCAACAGAGACTATTAGAAACAAAGGTGAAATAGACACATATACTATGTTTTTTATTACATCAGTTGTAAATAATTGAAAAGTATTACCCAAGAGACTTTAGCTGCTGTTTGAGCTCATCCGTCAGCGTCTCTGAATCGCAGCGTTCAGTCGAGGGCAGGTTAAACAGGTGCGGGGCCTTCTCCTGTGGCGTGGGCAGCAGAGCGGTCATCAGGGGGGAACACTGGGTCAGGATCTGGCTCCGCGCCGGCCGTCGCTCTGACTTCCTGGGTCAAAGGTCAGGAGACCGAGAGTGAGAGATGGGCCAGTAAAAGCACACCTCACACACATCTAAACAATCTTCATTAATATATGCATAAAAACATTTAGAATAAATTGGTCAAGCATTTTTTAAAATCTGTTTTTAGCCTATCTGAACATCTTCGCAGTTATTGGAATGGTTATATGACGTTTTTCGGGTTGAATGGTGGCCGTCTCGCCCCCCTGGAGGCTGTGAGCGCATATACACATCCTGCTTGATATACAACCACTAATAAACATCGGTTTAGAAGAGGAAAATAAACTACACTATTAGTGCGGACTAGAACCCGGAACCTCTGGCACAAAACTGAATTCCTGCATAGTGTGTCTTTCATAAAAATAATAAAATAGTAAAATTTAAAAAAAAATTAACTTTAAAAATATTCTTAATGAAACATACTGAATAAAATATGAAATGACTTTCAGTTTTCAGTTTTCAGTCAAACGTGACGACAGTTTAGTTGTAGTGTTTCCAGCGAGTGGACTGTACCTGTTGTTCAGTGCTGTTGGTCGGGGCTCCGCGTCCTCAGACCGGTCGTTCAGGGCGGAGTTAAAGCTGTCGGAGCGAAACAAGCGGCCAATCTCCACCCGGATGGCCTTCAGGCCCCGCCTCTCGAAGCTCACCCATACAGCATAGCTGCAAATGCTGTAGAGACACTGAGGCACAGAAAACACACCGTCATGATGGATAATGACGTATATGAAACTCTTGGATACTGAGTAGGGGTGGAGCCGAACCTGAATACGGTATTAGGAAAGGCACGAAATAACGTGTTTTTTACGAATACTTATTTCAAACAACTACTTTAAAAATATTTGCATTCGGGAACAAAAACAACTTTATATCAAAAAGCTGTGTTTCCTCACGAGACCGCAGTGTGTGAGTGGCGTTCAGGAGGAGCTGACTGACACAGCAACAGAGACTAAACACTCTGACTGCATCACTGTTTTCCTTGAATAAATTCTTGTACCTTAACTGGAGGCAGTTTATAAGTTTCGGGAAGCGGAGTTTGATCGGGAGATTATTCATCGTTCGCGCGTCAGAGGCGCCCGGCCATTGGATGTGCACTTGCCGCAGCACAGCCAATGAGAGAGCCAGACGCTCGATGTGCTAGCCAGGGCCGGCCCGAGGCGTGAGCGAACTGAGCTTTTTTTAGATTAAACAAATGACATACGTAAATGAATGAATTACTATGAATGAATTAATAATTAAATACAAGAAATTCTGATTTCATGATCAATAAATATACTTCCCTACACCTGCTGCTGTGTCTGCCAGCGTTTAAGTCATGCGCAGTTTTCAACAATAACTGTCATTATTCCTGTCTTATTGTTTTGATTTCTCAGTTGTCATTATTTTAGCAAATAATTTATTTGATATTTTTTGAGACAGTTTGTTTTAAGAAGTTTCAAAGAGTTAGTAAAAGAGTAAAGTAAAAGTTAAAAAAATTATTTAAGTAGGCTATCTATTTTTTAGTAATTATTTTGTATTTATACATAACCTCACTGTATTAATTTATAATGTATCATTATTGCGTGATATTCGTGTCAATAGGCTCGGGCCGGCTCTGGTGCAGCTGTGGATGTGTTTAACATAAAAGCTTCAGTAAATCGAGGAAAAGGAGTTTTTCCTTTTCAGTAAATCGAGGAAGCTTTTATGTAAAACACTTTTCCAGCTGCACATCGAGCGTCTCACGCTGCAGCAACTGCACATCCAATGGCACGGGCGCCTCTGACGTGCGACCAATGAGCTCGTCCTACGCCATTAAACGTCAGAACCCGACAAGGGGGCGTGGCCTTACTCGAATACATATATGAAGACAGATACAAATACCAGCTGCTTTGCTCACCCCTATTACTAATATTCAAATTTATTAAAGAATTGGTGTGAAATCCTCAGGAATCATATACTGTATATTAGTTGAAAGTTTGGCACAAACCTCGTCTAGCTGAATGTCACTGTGAGCGGACGACACCTTGAACCTGGAGACACAAACAAACTCAGTTTCCTCAAACATGCTCTTATTACTCACAGAACTCTCATCATTCATGTATTCTAACCCGTCAGTATTCGCGTGTTCTGACCCGCCGGTATTCGCGTGTTCTGACCCGCCGGTATTCGCGTGTTCTGAGCCGCCGCTATTCGCGTGTTCTGACCCGCCGGTATTCGCGTGTTCTGAGCCGCCGCTATTCACGTTTTCTGACCCGCCGGTATTCGCGTGTTCTGAGCCGCCGCTATTCACGTGTTCTGACCCGCCGGTATTCGCGTGTTCTGAGCCGCCGGTATTCGCGTGTTCTGACCCGCCGGTATTCGCGTGTTCTGAGACGCCGGTATTCGCGTGTTCTGAGCCGCCGGTATTCGCGTGTTCTGAGCCGCCGGTATTCGCGTGTTCTGACCCGCCGGTATTCGCGTGTTCTGAGCCGCCGGTATTCACGTGTTCTGAGCCGTTGGTATTCGCGTGTTCTAAGCCGCCGCTATTCACGTGTTCTGACCCGCCGGTATTCGCGTGTTCTAAGCCGCCGGTATTCGCGTGTTCTGAGACGCCGGTATTCGCGTGTTCTAAGCCGCCGCTATTCACGTGTTCTGACCCGCCGGTATTCGCGTGTTCTGAGCCGCCGGTATTCGCGTGTTCTGAGCCGCCGGTATTCGCGTGTTCTGAGCCGCCGGTATTCGCGTGTTCTGAGCCGCCGGTATTCGCGTGTTCTGAGCCGCCGGTATTCGCGTGTTCTGACCCGTCGGTATTTGCGTGTTCTGACCCGCCGGTATTCGCGTGTTCTGACCCGTCGGTATTCGCGTGTTCTGAGCCGCCGGTATTCACGTGTTCTGACCCGTCGGTATTCGCGTGTTCTGACCCGTCGGTATTCGCGTGTTCTGACCCGTTGGTATTCGCGTGTTCTGACCCGTCGGTATTTGCGTGTTCTGACCCGTCGGTATTCGCGTGTTCTGAGCCGTCGGTATTCGCGTGTTCTGAGCCGCCGCTATTCACGTGTTCTGACCCGCCGGTATTCGCGTGTTCTGACCCGCCGGTATTCGCGTGTTCTGAGCCGTTGGTATTCGCGTGTTCTGAGCCGCCGCTATTCACGTGTTCTGACCCGCCGGTATTCGCGTGTTCTAAGCCGCCGCTATTCACGTGTTCTGAGCCGCCGGTATTCGCGTGTTCTGAGCCGCCGGTATTCGCGTGTTCTAAGCCGCCGCTATTCACGTGTTCTGAGCCGCCGCTATTCACGTGTTCTGAGCCGCCGGTATTCGCGTGTTCTGAGCCGCCGCTATTTTCTCTCTTCGGTCTTTTCTCCAGAGCCGTCTTCTCAAAGAAGCAGGAAAAGTAGAGCAGGAGATTGGCAAGAAACCCATCCAGCTCTTCGCTCCTGCAGATATGAAGAGTTTCGGAGCCTCAGAGCTGCACTAATACAACTAAAAAAGAAGCTTTTACTGCTGAATTGAATTTAAGTCATTCTAAGAAGTATACCAGATAAAAAGGAAACATGGGTAAATCTTAAAGGGTTAGTTCACCCAAAAATCCAAATTAGTCCATGATCTGCTCACCCTCAATTCATCCTATGGGTATTTACTTTCAGACGAATACAATCAGAGCATATTAAAAAGCTTTATAATGACAGTGAATGGCTGTTTCTGTTTTAAAGTCCATAAAACAGCTGGCTTCAGTCCACAGAAGCAGAGGCCCCAACATTATTGGTCAAATGAAGTGATTCAAGTTTAGATTAGGCATGCTAAAGGATTCTTCCCCCGGTGTTTAGCGAGGGACAGGATTGCCTATGACGGTGATGAGGTCCTGTGATCTGACCATGCCCCTGCAGGATGATTTCAAGACATTGCTTGCTATCGATCTGCTGCATATTCTGTTTGTGACTACATTTATATGTGTGCAGTTTTGAGCAAGTACTTCATAATAAATATAATTGTACCCCTGCTCTACCCTGAGTGCAGTGTTTTGCATTTATCTCTGTAGTGTGTGTAATGACCAGGGATGCAAACACATGTATGTTCAAAAAAGAGAGAGGTAATCAAAACCCTCGCCCGCGGAAAATATCCAGATACTTATATTGCCACCAACCCCTGCCATCCCCGGCCCACCCCTAGGCACATAGTAAATATGTTTCAGCCTTTAAACCATTTTTCACAAAAAAAAAGGGTTTTATAAAAAACAAACCTCACATATTTCAGCCTTTAAATCATTTTTCACAGAAACAAAATGTGTTATAAAAAGATAAACCTCCAATATTTCAGCATTTAAATAATTTTTTTATAAAAAGAGTGAGTCTAAAAGCTTATCTTTTATTAGTAGTAAAAACCGGTCCCATTTTCCGATGGTGTCTGTTGTTGCTAAGCATCCATGCACTGCGCTCTCCACAACGACAAAGAAGTTTTAGTAGCTAATGGATGGGTAACGCTTCCTTTTACAGTACAGTACTTACAGTATACTTACTTACAGTATAGTGTACTTACCTAGAAAGTACTGGCTAATATAAGGTAAGTACATGGAACAGGGGTAGGTTTAGGGGTAGGTTCAGGGTTAGTACTAGTTGTTACCCAGTAATGTAGTTACTAAAATAAGTACATGGGTAACTGGACACTACCGAAAAACGCTTTCTGTAGCTCTGCTACATGATTTTTTTGTAAATACATGGTTTTATAATCCCTATGGTCCTGAATTTGAGGCAGGGTAGTTAAGGGGGTTCGGGGTATCCCCGAGAAAATTTTGGATTTCTCTAAACCACAGATATGCATTTTAAGATATTGTGAAGGCAAAAAAAGAAAAAAAAAATTTGATAACAACAGCTTTAAAACCATGTCAGTAAGCTGATTATTTTTCTCTCCTCATCAGCATCACACTCTTTTTCTCTGTTTTTATCTAGCCCTCTTAAAGTTGGCTCTTTAAGTTACTAAAGGCTACAATTTATATTTTATTCTCAATATGAACACATTCATTATTAATCCTGTGCCTAACATGATGAAAATGTTTCTTGTCCCCTCACAATGACAGTAGCCTAAACTACGTTACATAGGCCAATTTTCAGTTCAAAATGGCGAAATTAGACAAAACTATATTAGTTTGCCTGATTATTTTTTGTCATTTATGACCTAAAAAAAACTGTCAAATATATAAAGTTAATTTTAGCTACTTACATTTTATCTCGCACTTGACCGTACACTGAAGCGTTGAGTTGCACTGTTAAATTCGCGCTCAGCGTCTGTGAACATAAAGCCCGCCTACTTTGATTTGATTGGTCATCTCAAATATTCTGACATTGACGAGCAGGCCAATGAGGCTCAGAACACACACAAGTGGTGGAAATTTTGATTCTTTTCAGAGACTCGTTCATTTTTAGTTCATTCACCAAAATGATTCGTTCAGACTCGTTCACTGATTCGTTCAGTTTTTTTTTTTTTCCATATACATCAGCAGCAGGTGCAGCAAAATGTGTTAACAACGTATTTACTTGTTACAAAATAAAAACTGATTTGACTTTATTAAAAATTGTGCCTTAGGCTACTCATTAAATTGATAAAATAAGTCTAAATAAGCGATCAAAGTCTCAACACTCTTTTTATCTTTTAAATTACTCTTTTCGGATGACCAAATCACAAGTGTTTTTTAATCTGTTTGCATACTAGGCAGGCTAGTTAACATTTTATTTGTTTGGTCGGAACAAGTTAAACAAGGAGTTATTTTCTGTATGTAAGTTATGAATTGGGCGTTCACAGTACGGATACCTGCGCTTTGCATTCACTTCCTGCTGATTGATGAACTAGATTGACAGAATGGCCGACCTGGTACACGAACTGGGTATAGCAACCAGTTCGTTCAATTCGTTCACGAACGGGAGATCTCTCTCTCGTTCAGACTCATTCAGCAGAGTAGATCCAACCAATTACATGCCCCTTCTAAGCCCAAGCTAAAATGCTATTAGCTGACGTGAGTCACGTGACGCAAATGAGCTGGAATGACATGACGCAAATAATCAATACTCTATTTTTTTATGTTTTACAGTTTTTAAACAAACAAAAGTGCATGACATGACATATATATTTATTTTTTAAAGTATAAAACTGTTGAAACATAAAACAACAATAATAAAAATAAATAATACAAAATGCACACAAAACAACACCAGTGCTAGTGGTGCCACTCATATTGAAGTTAGCAGATTACCTGATGTAGTTTGTAGATTTTAGTAAAAACTAAAATTTTAAGCTGTCTTTTATTAAATTAAACCATCAGCTTGCACTGTTAACTTCGTCGTCATTATTATCTTGACGTTCAAACAACTGGTTCTTTCATTCACGAACGAGATGTGTGTAACAGTTCATTGGAAGCGTTCAAACTCAAAGCAACTCAAAGGGCGTATTCGTTCACTAGATTCAACAAATCACATGCTCTGTCCTCGTATCATACTCGAAGGCTATTGGCTCGAGGTTTAGTCACTCTTTGTCTTTGACAGATGAAACGGGCCTCAGAGCTACACGGTTCATTGAGCTGCGCATGCGCGCAATAGCGGCGCGCAGTGGTAGAAGGGGGAATTTCAGTGAACGAGAAATATGAGTCAATGGGCTATATGCACGCATAAGTTCCGCATTTGACGTAAGGATGCTCGTCCATTTCCGGTTGTGTAGATTAAAGCGGAGGAAAACTGGAGAAAACGGGATCATGGCAGAGTCTTCAATATTTACTGTCCTCCCGTCTTTGAAACGAAACGTACATACGTTTAGATGTAATTTTATATATAGTTATGTTTATTTAATATAATTTTAAAAAGAAGCATAAACACAACGAGGGGTGTCTGTTTTATCTGTTTTTGTGACTAACGTTTCATTAGTATAACCATGAAGTATAAAATTCAATATAGAATTCTCGGTATTGCATTGGACTCTACGATCGGCGGAAGTTATCGAGCATCCTTAATCCTTCACCGGAAATAACGCCGTGCATAGAGCCCATGGATAACGTGAACGAGAATGATTCGTTCACCTAAAAGATTCGTTCAAAAAGAACGATTCGTTCACGAACGTAACATCACTAACACACACACTCACACCCTGTCCTCTGTGTCTGACGTGCTCTCTGCTCGGCGTCGCTGCGGATTGAAGAGTAAAAACGCGCCGAATCTGATTCTAACAAGAAGTTTGATGATTTTTCATTAGGCTATTTTTAGTGCCCCCTCAGCACTTGGTGCCCGACGCACAGCACGTGATGCGCGTGGTGGGAGCGGTTTATTCAGTCTCAAAACTCGCGCACAGGATATGAAAAAACTTGCGCGCATACTGCTGTTTTGGCGCGCAGTGTTCTGATTTGCTTAGTGCATTAGCTGGATGTGTGTGTTATCGGTTTGGTTTGGGGTAAAGATATCATAGTTCTGAAGCAATTGTTTGATACAGTGAGACAAGTCAAAGGTTTTGACAGTGCAGCTTAAGTTGATTCGTGTTTAAGGTTTTGAGAAAACGAGAGAAATAGTGTAAACTAAAAGTAAGCACGTACTTCATGAGTGTTAGTAAGCGGTGAGGTACGGGATATCCCTCGTTCTCCGTCAGCAAACGCAGCGCTGCCACTGCAACACATCACACCACATCAGGCTCTCCTGCTCACACGGTGTCCATTACACACACACACACACACTTACCTTTAACATGCTGCAGCGTGACGTGTGTGTTCTGCGAGTCTGTGACTGAGCTCTCGAAGGCGTCCAGGTGAGCCGGAGTCACCGTGTTCCTGAGGAGAAACCAGAGTTAATCAAACACATCAATGTCCTGCGTGTTGAAGTTATGATCTCCTGACTGCAGTACTTCTGCCACTTCTCCAGATGCGTTCTGATCAGCTCTTGATGCGCAGATGTCTTTGGATCGCTCTTCTCTTTCTCCTCTTCTTGGGAACTGCAAACAAATGAAATTTTGCTTGTGCAACTTTTTCCTCCCAATAAATTAAAAAACGTAGACTAGTGAAACCGATGAGTGAGCGACTGTTAAAGAACGGTCTCGGTTTATGACCTGCTGAAGTCCAGGCCTGGGGTTTCCTCACTCCAGCCTCCAGAGGTCATCGTCATGGTCACCTGACCTCACCTGGCAGCAATTAATGATGACACCTTATTATTTTCTTGACCATCTTATTTTTATACTTATAATATTTTTTTTAATATAATCAATTTTAAGATAAAACTAATTTAAAAATATATTAAAAGTAATATTAATATTAAAAATCCCATTGACTTTCAGTTTCATTGCAAAAGTTCAAATTGAGCCAAGACTACGGTGGCCAGTAGTGTACAACACAAAAACTCAAATCTAAACTCCCTGAAGCCCTAGACTCAATTAAACTACCATTCTATATATTATGTACTAATGAACTTATCTATCTATCTATCTATCTATCTATTACATCTCTTTGGCCTAGCATACACATAACACACTAGACTTCTATAACTCAATGTTAGGCTGCATAGATTAGGTCAGCCGGAACCGGTAAATCCTGATGTGCTCCTTACATCATAAGAAGAGTGGCATCTAAGCTAATATTACTGTCTTTGTTTATCCCAAGGTTTTCCCGCAGCCTGCCGGATCCAGGCCGTATCCAGATCTGACGAGGAGCTTCGGCCGGACCCGATGACGATGCTGAAGTGCCAACGAGCCTCTCCGTATGGAGGATCCCTTTCCCACTCTACGGATAAATAAAGCGTTGTGGGAAATTCCGTTGTGCACCCCCCAGAACATCCTAGCAACCACTCAAAATACCTTAGCAACACCATAGCAACTGCCTAGAATACCCTAGCAACCCCCTAGCAACTTCAAACTATACTTTAAACTATAAACTAATTTAAACTATAATAACTTAACATCTTCAAACAACTTTAATCGTCTTCAAACTTTCTGTTCAAACTTTCACAAGACAATTTAAAGTTTGTCTGGACGAACTTTTTAACCTAGTTTAATCTGGTGTTGTGGTCCGGAAGCTGGTCTGAAGGACTCATCACTATATTTAAGAAAGGGGATCGACTTATCGCGGCATCAGTGTGATCAGTGCTTTAGGAAAACTGTTCTGCAGGATCATAAACACAGGCATCGTCATCACACAGCACAGATCATCGGCTTCTACCGGCCGACCTCATCTATTCCCTCCACACACTCGTCAACAAGAACATCAAACAAAGACAAACAAAGACACATATTTGCATGTTTTGTAGACTTTAAAAAAGCATTCGACTCAATTTGGCATGATGGTCGATTGTACAAAATCCTACAAATTATAATATCTCAACAGCTGCGATGTTTCCATAACAGTCTTAGAGTGACGAATTCCTACCTTTCAGTCGGTTATTCAACGATAATAAGTTACGCGTCCGCGGGGATAATACAGCAAACTCCGGAAGTGAGTCCTCGGTCTCCTAGCAACAGACTACAGACTGTGCTGCGCCAGTTCTACGCGTGACGTCATGTGGGAGGCCACGCCCACCACATACAAATGTGTGTTTTTCTAAATTATTATAATAATGAATTTTGACAGAGCAAAGCATACAACAGTATAGAGAGAGTTACAGAAAGAAGACATACGGAACTTTTTTTATTAAGCAAATGCAATAGGCCTAGGCCTACTACTGAGCCCAGGAAGTCACCTGTGAGGAAAAAACAATCCCCTCAGTTTATAAACTGTAGGCTACTCACGAATCCTTAAACTGGCGCAAGACACACATTCAAGGACGGGTTACATTTTCTCTCTAAAACAATAGGAAATGCTTTAATTGTTTACTTATTTGCTGACATCTTTAACAAAAGAAATATTACAGAATGGTCTATGAGTTTTATAAATAAAATATAATGTGTTTGGGCAAATTTTATGTAATATAAATTATGCCAGTAGTGCTCTTCATTTGACTAGTACCATGAAATTGATTAAAGGATTAGTTCACCTTCGAACAATTTCTTGCTGATAATTTACTCACTCAGGAATGTTTTCCTCAAAAATCTTAATTTCTTTTCGACTGAAGAAAGACATCTTGAATGACATGGGGGTGAGTAAATTATCAACAAAAACATTTTTTGAAAGTGAACTAATCCTTGAACATATCCTCTTTACTTGTTATTCATCACATCATGTGCATTCATTGTTGTCATCTGCTATTTTTTAGGAACAGATTAAAAAAAGGTCTATAAATTAAGTGTCATTATTGTTACTGGTGTCATTGTTGTTAGGCCATAGACTACCACAACAAATTGATGCAATTAAAGTTACACAAATCAAAAACTTTGTAGGATAACCATTATTTGGCAGCTGCTCAATAAAGGAACACTAAGAGGAGATGTGAACATTTCTCAGTGAAGGTGATTGTGTGTTAAATTGCTCTTATATAGAAAGGTAACACAACTGTGACATTTATTTTCTAATATAACATGATAACATGAGATGGAGAGCAGTAGGTATTAAGGTCAAACTGGCCAATGGGTAAGAAAAATGTAAACACATTGCAAAACAAGTAACTGTTCTTCATTAGCGTGTAACTATTCCAACTTATTCTATAGTTTGTTCATCCTTGTTCAGAAGGTGAGACTGTGTGGTCAGACCTTCACAGATGGCAAAAAACAGCGGTCCTGCATGCATGCACAATTGCCTATTTTTTTTTTCTTTCTTTTGTTGCTTTCATAGGTCTGTTAGCTAATGAATATGTTTGTTGAACATTCCCCTATATAAATGCTGTGAGTAAATCACTGGATCCATAAGCTATGGCTTCAATTTTCACCACTCTTTATGAACATTTATCGAGTGTACTGTATGCTTTATGTTAGTTTAACTCATTCCTCAGCAACACTAAAATTCATAAATAATAAATAAATAAATGCTTGACATGTCCCTTTAACCACAGCAGTATTGCTGCTCAATTTAAATTAAGTCACAAATTGGCATCATAACAATAATCTGTGAATACACACGCACTGCAAATACACAATGTCAATAGTATAATTTATTGAATATATTTACAGTTGTCATCAGATACAAATTTTATTGAAACGACAAACGAATGTAAAAAAAAATAATAATAATAATGTGGGCGTGGTCTGTGTGTCGCGAAATTAAAGCACATTAAAACTTCCCTTAAAGGCGTCTGAAACATATAGCGGAGCAGCGCAGAGTAAACAACAGAGCCAAAATATGATGCAGACATTTAACAATAAAATGGAAAGCTTTGAAAATCTGCTCAGTGAAAAAATAGCTCTGACGAATCTGTCACCGTTTAACATCTGCTGGAAATCCAGGTAAATCTGTCTGCGTGCACGCGCGCGTCCCCAGTTAACATGATCCCCAGTTGATCCGTAACATATGTTAGCCTGTTATATAATGTACTGATGCTATTCTAATTCAACTGACGCTAAAGATGTGTGTTATTTAGGCTCGCGCAGGCAGCCTCTCGGTGAACCAAATAGGGCTAACATTAACTGCAGCTCACACAAAGAAAGTCCGCTAGCATCTGCGGTAAAAATTCAAAATGCATTTAAGTTAGTTTTTATATTTATAACACAATGCAACACCATACAACCAAGTGCTGAATACCATCACGATTGAAAATGTAACACTGATTTCGACAGTTCAATTAACAAGTAATTGATATTAAATCACTTACATTTTAGATGCAATAATCCAGCAAAACTAACCCAGCATGTCACAGTCAACCGTCCGTGTTTTCATTACTAAATGATTCAATGTTTTAAACGAATCGGTGAGTCAACGATTCAATGATCCATTCATGAACGACTACTTTATTCTTGATGAATCAGCTGTTTGAACAAATGACTCGCTTAACACCGCAGCCGCTTATCGCTTACCGCCATCTACTGGCGCTTTAGCTTCACGCTTAAAAGTGTCATTCTTTCAACTTTTCTAATTTGTATATTTAATTTTTTCTCATAACATTATTTAAAGTCTATTATTCAATGTAAATTATTCAATTTGATTGGTAACCGTCCTATAGTTTCTAATTCTAGTTTAATTTATTGATCAAATAAAGAATTTAAAATAAAAGAGGAAACGTTGGGAAATGTAATAGCTATATTTAATAAGATTAGGGAAAATGTCCTTTATAAAGATAAAAATATCACAAATATGCAGATTTAAATGTCAAAGCTGATGTGAATACTGATTCATAATAAATTATATACAACACAATTGTCCAGGGGCGTAGTAGGAGCCATTATACGTGGGGACATGTCACCCCCACATTTCAAAATCTAAGTTTTGTTCCCCCTCCCAACTATTTCCCTATGTAGGCTTTTGTTTTGCATTGCCTGCCTATCTCTGCCAATTTTGGAGTCTCCCAATTAATCCATTCTGCAACTTTTAAATACATAATTCAATTTTTTAAAAAGGGCGATATTCTTCAGCTGCTTATGTCGACCATGGTCGCTCACATGATATAATTGAAATATAATTGCACCGCTCGTGCATGCGCATCTAGGTGACACGGATAAATGTACGCATTATGTTCCTAAAATTATCAATTTTAGTACTTTGAAAAAACCTCACATATATCATGAATGTAAAACAGAAAGAGCAATGGGCCCAGCACAGAGCCTTGGGGAGCCCACATGTTGCCTGCACCAATTGTGACTTGCAATTATCTATTTGGACATTTTGATGCCTTTTCTCTAAATAATTACTTATCCAAGAGTGAGATACCCCTCTTACTCCGTATTTTTTCAGTTTCTCTAGTAAGATGTTATGGTCGACAGTGTCAAATGCTTTTTAAGATCTAAAAATACCCCAACTGTGTATTGTTTATTTTCTATTGCGTTAGATATTTTCTCCACAAAATCAAGTTCAAAATCAGTTCAACGGTCTGATTAATGATAGTAAAAATACCATAAAGCACATGATTTGAAGGTTGTAGATAAAGGAGTAGAAAGTTCTTCTTCTATGTCTATCCAGTGTACATTATTACGTTTTTACGGTCTTTTTAAAATTTGAGCCTTTTTTGTGAATACACTTTGGCTAAGTCAGGAAGCTGCTTTACGTGGTTTGACTGCGTCTCTATTATCCGTGTTGAAAACACTTGTGCTGATACCTATTTTTGTGGAAACTATTAATTTTTCAACAACAACAATCTTGCTGACACCAAACCTTCGAACAGTAGATCTATAGATGTCTGTAATTGTCAAGTATTCCTTAATCTTATTTGGTGTGGGACTGTGGAAACAATTTAATATGTTCTATACTGTATGTTTGCATTTAATTATATTTATAGAATCTTAGAAATATGATGGTAATTAGATTAATTTAGTGTCGATACATATCCTTATGAATGCATGTATGTGTATGTCTTTGTATATGACCTGACAAAAGTTAATGTGTGACTAAGTGTATATGGCCGAGACAGAGGGTCTGATAGACGAATCCAAACACTGTATTAGATTTGGCTGAGAGATATCTCATTTATCCTCTGGAAACAACCGTGGCGGACGAACAACTATAAAGAAGGAAGGCTCTGCAGGCTCTCTGTATGACTGTTGGGAATACATCATCTTTAAAGACTATTGGTACATGTTTGTCTCTTATTCAGTAAAGAAATAAGGCCACCACAGGACCAAAACACAAATCAGCCCAACAGTGATCTAAAACATCTGCTCATGACGTAACACAGACTCACGATAGTGCTGCTGTTCTCGTATCAGCACGACGGTGAAATGTTGATTAAATCCTGCTTTATACAGCCGCTCTCCTTCTTCAACTAATGCCAGCCTGTCTGGTGTGTTCCTGGACTTCATGTTATTCCCTGTCCTGCTCCATGGTGTGCAGTTCTTGTAGGTTTAATGTTGATTAGTCTCTCTAGTGTTTCTCCTCTGTTTCTTATTAGCCACGCCCCTCGGTTATCTCGTTAAGCTGTCAGTCGTTTAATGGACATTCCCTGGTTTAGTGTTTTCATCAGTTACTTTTAATAAACCGAACCCTGCAGGTGGATCCTCTTCCCAGCTCGCTGTCTCAAATGTTACCCTTAACACACACAGTAAGGGCCTGTCCCAATCCCTCCCCTTCCCTTGGATCTTTGCTGTAATCCTTGTTTTTGTGTGTTCTCTGTCCCAAAACTTTAGGGACCAAGGGGGAGTGCTGTTCTTCCCTTAAAATCAACCCTAGTGAGGTCCAATTCAGGCTTAAAACGAAGTGGGAGAGGAAATTACCCAGGACACCTTGCAAACTCAGTGATCCGGCCAAATTTTTCAAACAAGATGGCGGACACGGCTGGAAAGGAACAATTGAATTAAGTATACTATCGCAAATAAGCATGTTAAAATTTTGAAATATGTCGGAATATGTTAGTTTGATGCACATCCAATGGACTGTTGAGTTTTGAACACTAATGTTTCAAAATATTTCACGAATCTATCTGACGATGTTCATGATATCTGCCAGTCTGCCCATCAACTATACGTCTGATCTGGGTAGTTAATCTCATTTTATTTTCGATTTCGATATTGGCTTCCAAGGATTATAAAAAGATGATAAATGAGGTAAAACTATTAAAAACTAGCCGCGTCCGTCTAGTGCATCATCTTTCCCTTCACAGCGCGCTGTCATCTCAGAAGAGCTGTTAAAAGACCGCGCGGGAGACGGTGGCCCTGTTCCCATAGCAACTCGGAAACGGACTGCAACTAGACAACCAAGCAGACTTTGGGTTTGGCGTGCGTCTAAACGATCAAATACACACAAAAATATGGCAAAATGACTGAATGAAAATAGTAGTAGGCTACTAACTTACTGGTAGACACTGAGCACATTTGCTACGTTTATTTGTATAGTGGTGTCCCATTTCAGGTCTTCACCCCACTTCACTCGTTGAGGGACTTTACTGTCGAGGGCACTCAAAACCAAGTTTTAAGGGGAGAGAAATGGGACAGATTTACTAGTATGCCATTCACCTTAAAATGATCCTTCTGTCAGATCAGCTAGCCCTCGCAGCGGTGTAACCGTGTGCTCTTCCCCTCAGTTTCCTCTCAGGCCAGGAACCTTGCTGTCATTCTCGACTCTGTCAGAACTATGTTTATCCCTACAAATGAATTATATATCAATTATATTAATTGTATAAAATAGTTTTTATCAATTGCGGTTAATTTCCAAACTCAACTTGGATAAAGTAACTCATGATATATAAGCTCACGCTTGGACTACTGTAATTCATTGTGTTTGGGTCTTCCTCAATCATCGCTTGCTCAACTCCTGCTAGCCAAAGAAATATGAGCACTTCGCTTCATTGGCTCCCAAACACTTTTAGAATTGAGTTTAAAATGTTGTTGGTTTTTAAAGCTGCATTATATCTCAGAGATCTTCTCGGTCCTCCTCTGTCATGCACTGGATCTGTGAGATCTTCAGACAGGGCTGTTTTATCCATCCCTCGCTCCGTCTGAAACTGAGGGATCCTGTGCTGTCGCCGCTGGACATCCGCCTTCACCTTCAGTTGAAAACTTATCTTTATTCCCTGGCATTATTATCTTGCTTCTGTTTTTGGTTTTATTTGATGTTATCTTAACTTTGATAGTTTTCTGTGCTCTATAAATACTAAAACATGGCCAAATATCAGGCAAAACTAACCTCAAAGATGTCGTGGCCTCGACAAACAACCCAAGAAATTCTGTCGGACTAAATCCATAATCGAAATCCACTATAAGTATAACAATACCTTAAGTCATATTGATTTAAATGAGGAGGGTTTGCATACTTTTAAGACCACTACAACCAATAGAATTAAAAGAATTCATCTTTATTTTTTACATTTTTTGCACACACTCATCATCACTATGTTTGTGTATATGCAGAGATGTACATGCGCATAAAAGACTTTATTATGGGGAAAATGCAGGTGAACCGTTTCAATGAACAAAAGAAAAGAAGTCTTCCATTCTCCAGATTTGAACATAATATAAAACGAGTAAGGCTCACATGTTCAGACTGTTAAATGTCTAAGAGCTGTTTGACTGAAAGACTTTGAATGCTTTAGACAGACACTGGTTTGTCAGTCTGACCTCTGACATCTGCAGGAAAGCGGACTTTTGTAAGAAATGCAGAACCCTTGAGAATAACCTCTGATAGTGATAAATACATGAATAACGGAATAACCCTGATCATTAAATTAGCTAATAACATTCTAACAAACACACAATATAGGCCAGACTGAAAGGTGGAATGTGAAATTGTGTTTAAATGCCATAAACCCAAGTTCAAGTAACCAGAATAAATGAATATCTCTGCAGATTCATATTTTCACCCCATCCCCATTCCAGTCCCCTGTGAAATACAAAGATAAAGTTCTGATATCATTCAAGAGCAGATTCAAATCTTATTGGTTTCTCTACACTTCAAACCATTGCTTAAATAGTTTCACATCTAGTTTTCTTCAAAATGTACGCTACTACTGAAATACTTTGGGATGGAAAAGAACTGAAAGCGAGTCGGTCCGTCGGGTGGGCGGTATTGCATGGCTTGCTCTCTCTCTCTCCTACAGACGAGCGAGGTCATCCGGCGAGGTCACGTAAATGTCTTCTGATGCCGCGACGGACCTGGGAATGTCAGTCATGGAACGCCGGACACACATGCATGGCTTTAGCTGGGAATGTGCCACTGGAGTTCCCTTTGGACCCACAAACGAAACATGAATGGAGGTGAACTTTGGGCTAGTGTCTCTCCTCGGAGTCGAGCACGCATGCTAGCTGGATCTGCTTCTGCTCTCCGAGGACGAGTCCGTCTGGACGCAGATGGCCACCAACGGCCCAAGGGGAATCGCTCGTTTAATGCGAGGAAGCTCATGCGTGGTCTTGACGCCCATGGCTCATTCGGAGCATTTAGTGCTGCTAGTTTTGAGCGAGGAAGAACAAATAGTGAAGGAATGCCAATGTCCATAAAACGTCCTCATCTTTGGGTGACGGAGCTATTACATGGAGATGTTGCTGTACAGTTGTTTGATTTCCATCTTGAAATACTCCTTCAACTCGGGTCTCTTGGCTTTTAAAGTGGGGGTCAGCAATCCGTTTTGTATGGAGAACATTTCTTTGTGAATGTGGATGTCTTTAACCTGAGAGGAGTCAAACAGAGGATCGGGATCAAACGGTTAAGGTTGTGTTTCTCTCTATGATGGCGTTTCACGGTTGTGACCATTTTAAATGTGAAGCGTGGCGTTCTGTGCAACTCCTGTGATAGCTAGCGCACCGGCTCAGCGATGGGACTGCCGCGTGTGTGTGTGTGTGTTACGGAGCGCTCCAGATTTAGATAATAGTTTAGGTGATCAGGTTTAGTTCTCCTAAACTTAATTACATTATTACCAGCTGAAAGAAACTGAAAGTCTGACACTCCAGTTATTAAAAATAAAAATAAGACTTTTAATATAATGCTAATTATATAAACATAAATTGCTATAACAATAGACACCAATTAGTTCATTTGTGAGGGAATAGCTTAATCATAATTTTATTAAGATCTACATTAGACGTACAGGTAACGCTTTATAATAACTGCACGCTTTTAATCATTTGTTAAGCATGAGTAGTAGTAGTAGTAGTAGTAGCTTCAAACACAGGTGTCTGAGATTAGAGCAAATCTATACCGACTCAAGACTATGACCAGCGATTGGCTGCAGAGTGACATCAAGTTAATGGCCTCGTTTAAAAGTGTAAACGAGTTCAATTTATTATCTGTGGCCTAATCTGATTGTACATCGGTAACACTTTATAATAACTACACACTAATAATCATTAGTTAAGCATGAGTAAACAGTTCATTCATCATTCATAAAGCATTAATAGACATTAATAAGCAGTTTATAAATATAACTATAAATGCTTTTTTCTTGATTTATAAGCATATCTATAGTGTCTTTAATAATTGTATTTTCATACTTTGTTAATGATCAATTAATAATTTCTAAATGAAGTATAGCATTATTTACAAACCAGTTATTTAAGAGTTGTCAGTCATTCATAAGATCACGTAGAAAGTGTAAGTAAATGTCGTAAATACAGTTAGTTTTAAAGCATTTGGTAGTGGTCAGTTAATATTTTGTGAGCTCATCTAAAGTGAGGACTATTCATGTCTTGTAAAGCATTTATAAAGGAGATTTAAAGGTGCATCAATCTTCTAAACAGTAAAATGTAATACGCCTTATCCATCTTTGATTTTTAATGAGAATGAAAGCGAGGCTGTGAGGGATAGTCATGCATCTCTTCAATGGGCTGTACTGTTATTTAATGTGTTTTCGGATTGTTCTGCTCATGAAACACTGGAAAAATATCTTTCCAAGAAATGTCAGTTGACAAAAAACTCCCAACAATGTAAGCTGTGGAAAATTGTAAGTAATCTAGCCGCTTTATTCAGCTTTTTACAGCGGATGCCATTGGAAACACGGTAAGACTATCCCTCACAGCCTCACTTTCATACTGTACCTGTCATGGCGCTGCTCTGAATAAGGTCTATAAACACAAGTTCGATACAGAACATAGAAATATTTAACAGCCTTTCAATCTCCTTTATAAATGCTTTACAAGACATGAATAGTCCTCACTTTAGATGAGCTCACACACACACACACCTAACCCTGACCACTAACGAATGCTTTATAACTATACCAAATTAACCCTGAATTACAGCATAAATACATGTTAAAGGGATAGTTCACTTTGAAATTAATGTTTGATATGTTTTATCTTACCTCAAGGGGATCCAAGATGTAGGTGTCTTTGTTTCCACAGTACTTTCAATTTTGACATTTTTCAGTCATATAAATACTGTTCATTTTCTCACACAAACCGCTCGTTTCGTGTCTTAGGCCATCAATGTGTACTTACATTTACTAGTCATTAAATCATGTTTAATTTGGACTTCTCTGTGCTGCTCTTTGGTGGACCCCCTTAGCCTCCAGTGTATGACTGATAGACAACAACGGTTTGACTGAAAAATGTCAAAATTGAAAATACTGTGGAAACAAAGACACCTACATCTTGGATGCCCTTGAGGGAAGATAAAACATATCAAAAATTAATTTCAAAGTGAACTATCCCTTTAATGAAGCATTTATTAAAATACTCAGTAACCATCACCATATGTCTGAATAATAAGATGTATGAATGAATGTACGTTTAAATAGTTTATTAATCATTTACTTACACGTTCTACATAATCTTATGAACTACTGAAAACTCTTAAATAACTTTGTTATAAAAAAATGCAATTCTTCATTTAGAAATGATAAACTGATCAGTAATAAAGGATAAAAATACAATTATTCAACAAATTATAGATATGCTTATAAATCAAGAAGAAAGCATTTATAGCTGTATTTATAAACTGCTAATTAATGTCTATTAATGCTTTATGAATGATGAATGAACTGTTTACTCATGCTTAACTAATGATTATTAGTGTGTAGTTATTATAAAGTGTTACCGATGTACAATCAGATTAGGCCACAGATAATAATTTGAACTCGTTTACACTTTTAAACGAGGCCATTAACTTGATGTCACTCTGCAGCCAATCGCTGGTCATAGTCTTGAGTCGGTATAGATTTGCTCTAATCTCAGACACCTGTGTTTGAAGCACGATGAGCTAGAGATGCGAACGAGGCCTTGTCCACCCCGACACGGGGAGTTTTTCCTCCTGCGTTTTAAAAAAAAAATCCCGTCCACATGAAAACACAAAAACACGCTATCAAGCGCCGTCAAGAGCATGCCACACCAGCAGGCGGCGATATAACCCTAACCGTAAAGCCACGTAGGCCAATTAAGAAGCCTAACAAAAGGTTATTACAGGTTCCGGTAGGCGGATAACGGCACGGGCGCACACTGACGTCGCAAGGCAAAAACGCCGGTTTTACGGTCTACACGACAGCACTGTAACCAGCGTTTCTGGAAATCCTCACTCTGGGGTTTTCAAAAATGTTCGGTTTCAGTGTCCGGACACTGCGTTTCTGTGTGGACGAACGGCCGAACCGTGTGAAAAAAGGCACGGTTATAAAATCACCCTGAGAAGATCTGGCACGCGTCACACCATCTCAAGTGTGTTAAACGAACAATGAAGAACGGCCCTTGATTAAAACTCCCATCAGTCCATCTGGTGCAGAAACGACACGCTTCACCTTTAAATGAGACTAAATATTAAATGCGTTCTAGTTAACTGAACCTAGTCCTAAAACACATGACCACTTGAGCAACTAACGTCCATGCCGAAGAGTGTGTAAGACACAGACAGCCGTGGTTCACTACTGTAGTTTGCAGACGTACCTGTTCGAATGAATGGAGGCCACTAGCTTTTCCCAAACGCACCAGGTCATCCAGGATGGCTTTCTTCAGGTCCTTCAGATGGACAAAACAGACAACGGTCAGGCACTTGGTAAAGCAGTAAACGCACAGGAGATCAGGGTTCAGACGAGCCTTACTCTATTTTCACACAGCTCGTCGAAGCATCCTTCAAAGCCTTTCTTCTGAGCCCACGAGGGAAAGACCTCGGGATCCGGGACGATGATTCCCACCAGACACGACTGCACACACACAACCAGTCAGCGTTAGCATCGCAGCGCGGCTAACTCGAGGCGTTCAGGCTAAAGCAGAGCGACTGACCTGCAGGCTGTCTCCGTGCACGTAGAGCTGAGACACGGGTTCGCTGCGGATGTAGATGTTCTCTATCTTCTCTGGGGAAATATATTCTCCTTGCGCCAACTTGAAGATGTGCTTCTTCCTGTCGATGATCTTCAGGGTGCCGTTCTGCAGGACAGACGAATGGGAGGAGCCGTCGTTATCCGAGCAGCTCAGCGGCCCGACGGACACACGTTTAACACCAGTAAGGAAGAGCAGGGTTGGCTATGCAGGGTTAGCGCCTCAGATTCGTGTTTTTGAACTTCACACAGAGATGATAACGTTTTCAAACTTTAAGGTTGCGTTCTCGAGCCCCAATCACTGTTGCTGTGCGATTGAGCGGCCGGCGCGCATTATAACAGTGTTTTCTGTAGAGCGGGGTCGTGTTAGCGGCCTTAAGGTAATAACTAATGATTAGAAGTGAATCAATCTAAACTAACTATAGCTGGACAATAACTTATTCTAGATCTGCTGTAAAGCCTAAACTCTCTGTTACTGTAATCTCCTGTTATCACTGTAAAGCACTATCTATAGACCAATACACAACAAAATGCTAACATCTAAAATAACTGGTTCACATCACTGAACCAACCTGTATACATTTATTTAAAGGGTTAAATCAGGTAGAAGTCGCTCTTTAACCCTTTCCCTGCCATTGACCGGCTGTGTTTTCTCTGTTATACGGTAGGGGACGCTGTGACACATCTTCTGAAAGAGTACTGAATCTCCTGATCAAAACATTGCTAACACTCCTGTCGTAGTCTTTCAAAAAATAATGATAATAATAATATACTCAAATTAATCTTTTTTTAATGACATTCAATCCACATTTAAGTGTTGATAAAAAAGAATGCATGAAGCTACCTTAAAATGTTTGTTTGCTTGTTCAAAAGCAGAGGCTATGTCCTTTCTTTTGATATATTGGATGTTCAGATATTAATACAATAAAATATTTTGGAGGCTATGAAAGCTTTTACACTGAGAGAAAGCGTTTAAGTCACGATGGGACCGCAGGACCGTCCTGTTCATCGTTCTTTTTACCATGTCTCTTGTATACAAAAGAAGAACACAATGTGTTGAGGCCGACATACCGGCAGCCATTTCCCGATGTCTCCGGTGTGAAGCCATCCGTCCGCGTCCAGCGTCTCCGCCGTCCTCACCGGATCCTTCAGATAACCCTTGAAGACATTTGGACCTTTCACACAAACCTGGAGCAGAAACAAAGAGAACAGTGACGGATGATGCTTTAATAAAGGCATATTCTGTGTTTGGCGAGAGAGAGATTTGTGCTCTTAAGACAAATGCATGGCGACATGACTGTCAATCAAGCTTGTGATGATGCAGTATGACTTCCTGTTAGGGTGCTAGACAGCAACAGTGTTGGCCCAGATCCGGGCCACAGCTGGTACATGTGGATTTCACTCATACCAGATCTGGGCCGACAATATGCTGCTGTCAGGGGAATATGACTTCCCGTTACGTTATAACGTATGGCTTCCTCTTACGGTATAACGCATCACTTCCGGTTACGGTATAACGTATGACTTCCTCTTATGGTATAACATATCACTTCCTGTTACGGTATAACGTATGATTTCCTGTTACGGTATAACGTATGACTTCCTGAAAGACATGATTGTACAGATGTCTACTCAAGGTGTAAAGAACATTTGAACATTATAGCTTTGAACACTAAGAGTCCTACATTTCTCCAGAGCAGGTGGATTTCTGTCCTCTAGTGTGAAGCAGCTTTTTAAAGACTTGTCTTTGCCAGTGTGTGTTAAACTAAGCGTAGGCCACACAGACAGTGTTATAACAAACCTCGCCCTCTCCTTTAGCAGCGAAGTAGTTCTTCTCAGCCACATCCACCAGTTTAATGAGGTTACAGGGCAGCGGAGCTCCTACATGACCTGCAGAGAGACCTCAATAACTTCATCATGTCATCACATACAGGTCTGTGTGGAGGATCCAGCAGATAATGACTGATTAGAGGACATAATGACTGAGAAACACAGAAGACAGTCTGTAACAGTAATGCAAAAACAAGCCACTGGAGGGAGAGCTTGCCACGCAGTTCCACAGTGGATGTAGAGACATCATTTATTTCACCCTGACTGAATCATCTTGATCATTAATGGCTAGTTATCAGTGACTGTGGAGTAACTGGTGGCCCAGTCCAGTGTAAAGGAACAGGTTTCGTTCATACACATGCAGGAGACAGAAACACAGGATTTCACTGCGTTCCATGTTCGGTAACTCTTCCCTGTGGATCTGTGTCAGGTGAAGATGTGTGACCAATGGAAGATCAACTTCTTACGTTGACCTCAGTAAAGCTAAATAGATTTGATATTTTTACATTTTGTATGCATTATCTGTTACATATAAAAAAGATGCTGCAGAGTGTGATGTCACATTACGACCATCTCTAGAAATAGCCATTACTTCTAGTGAAGGACAACAGCTCTCAGCACGCATGTCCTTATGGTTTTAATCATGGAGTAAAGAGCTCTTCCAAGTGAACCATTGCACTAGAATCAGTCAGTAACGGACTCTTTCAACATCTCCGGGAGACAAACGCGAATTTAATGTCTGTATTACCGTTTGCTCCAATAGCACAAGAGGAAAGTCCATGACAGCATTTCCATGACTTTCCAAAAGAGGTGGAAAATACTGACAAAGATGTGACATTGTGTTAGAAACACAACCTGCTTTATAATGTACTGCCAATGTAATATAAGGCAATGTTTAACGTTACAAACGAAACTATGATAAGCTTTACAGAGCAGCGATGTTGATAACTGTGAAATGAGTCACAGGGAGTCTGTGAAAAGGCCCATTATTCATCATGTGTTAAAACAGTGTTTTTCTGGGGGTTTTCTTCTAATAATCACACAACACTGAAGAAATGACTTAAATATTCGAATTCATCACATCAAAATATATTAGTTTCTCAAATTATATTTATGGTTTGATTCAAACCTTACATTTTGATTTACTTTAAATAATAATCATTTTATAATTTTTTTATTTGTAAATGTTTAGTTTATACAGTAATGGTTATTGAGATGTCTTTTTAAAATACATTTATCTCTGCAGTCAGTAAAGCGAGCCAGAATGTGTTCTCCGTTTCAATCCAAGATACTATTTAAACAAAATAGTGTGCTTTAAGAAAAAATGAACTGTTTAAAATGTGATTCTGGTTGAGGCCAGTATAAAGGCATGTGCCAGGGGTCATGATCAAGCGAGAGTCTCACCGGACGTCCAGTCTCCAGGCGTGGTGAAGGTGCATCCAGCGGTGCACTCCGTCTGTCCGTATGCCTCGTACACCTGCAGACACACCGCCGAGATGAGCTCAGACACACAGGAGCGCTAACGCTACAGACACACAGGAGCGCTAACGCTACAGACAGACAGGAGCGCTACGCTACAGACACACAGGAGCGCTTCGCTACAGACACACAGGAGCGCTAACACTACAGACAGGAGCGCTACGCTACAGACAGACAGGACGCTACAGACAGACAGGAGCGCTAACGCTACAGACACACAGGAGCGCTACGCTACAGACACACAGGAGCGCTAACACTACAGACAGGAGCGCTACGCTACAGACAGACAGGACGCTACAGACAGACAGGAGTGCTAACGCTACAGACAGACAGGAGCGCTACGCTACAGACAGACAGGAGCGCTACGCTACAGACAGACAGGACGCTACAGACAGACAGGAGTGCTAACGCTACAGACAGACAGGAGCGCTACGCTACAGACAGACAGGAGCGCTACGCTACAGACAGAGAGGAGCGCTACGCTACAGACAGACAGGAGCGCTACGCTACAGACAGAGAGGAGCGCTACGCTACAGACAGACAGGACGCTACAGACAGACAGGAGCGCTAACGCTACAGACAGACAGGAGCGCTACGCTACAGACAGACAGGAGCGCTACACTACAGACAGACAGGAGCGCTACGCTACAGACAGACAGGATGCTACAGACAGACAGGAGCGCTAACGCTACAGACAGACAGGAGCGCTACACTACAGACAGACAGGAGTGCTACGCTACAGACAGACAGGACGCTACAGACAGACAGGAGCGCTAACGCTACAGACAGACAGGAGCGCTACACTACAGACAGACAGGAGCGCTACGCTACAGACAGACAGGACGCTACAGACAGACAGGAGCGCTAACGCTACAGACAGACAGGAGCGCTACACTACAGACAGACAGGAGCGCTACGCTACAGACAGACAGGAGCGCTACGCTACAGACAGACAGGACGCTACAGACAGACAGGAGCGCTAACGCTACAGACACACAGGAGCGCTAACGCTACAGACAGACAGGAGCGCTACACTACAGACAGACAGGAGCGCTACGCTACAGACAGACAGGACGCTACAGACAGACAGGAGCGCTAACGCTACAGACACACAGGAGCGCTAACGCTACAGACACACAGGAGCGCTAACGCTACAGACACACAGGAGCGCTAACGCTACAGACACACAGGAGCGCTAACACTACAGACAGACAGGAGCGCTACGCTACAGACAGACAGGACGCTACAGACAGACAGGAGCGCTAACGCTACAGACACACAGGAGCGCTACGCTACAGACAGACAGGAGCGCTACGCTACAGACACACAGGAGCGCTACGCTACAGACACACAGGAGCGCTAACGCTACAGACAGACAGGAGCGCTAACGCTACAGACACACAGGAGCGCTACGCTACAGACACACAGGAGCGCTAACGCTACAGACAGACAGGAGCGCTAACGCTACAGACACACAGGAGCGCTAACGCTACAGACAGACAGGAGCGCTAACGCTACAGACAGACAGGAGCGCTACGCTACAGACACACAGGAGCGCTACGCTACAGACACACAGGAGCGCTAACGCTACAGACAGACAGGAGCGCTACGCTACAGACAGACAGGAGCGCTACGCTACAGACAGACAGGACGCTACAGACACACAGGAGCGCTACGCTACAGACACACAGGAGCGCTAACGCTACAGACAGACAGGAGCGCTACGCTACAGACACACAGGAGCGCTACGCTACAGACACACAGGAGCGCTAACGCTACAGACAGACAGGAGCGCTAACGCTACAGACACACAGGAGCGCTACGCTACAGACACACAGGAGCGCTACGCTACAGACAGACAGGAGCGCTACGCTACAGACACACAGGAGCGCTACGCTACAGACACACAGGAGCGCTACGCTACAGACACACAGGAGCGCTACGCTACAGACACACAGGAGCGCTACACTCGCTCTCGCCTCACCTGACAGCCCAACACTGCTCTTAGGAAGCCCAGGACGGACGGGGACGCCGGAGCCGCTCCAGTGATGATCATTCTCAGCCTGCCGCCCAGACTGGCCTGTAAGGAGACACACACAGTCAAACAGCAGCGCGGCTTCGGTCCAGCGTCTGACCGGCTTTGCGTCACGCACCTGGATCTTGTGGAAGAAGATCTTGTCCCAGATACTGTCGCAGCGGATGATGCCACGGCTCACCTCCGAACCTTTTCTCTTGGCCGCGAAGTTCAGCAGCCAGCGCTTGACAGAGTTGTTGGCCTGACTGAAGATCTGAACGACAGCAGACATGTTTCAACACTTACATGAGGAATACATATAGCTGAAGTAAGTTTTTATATTTTATTAAATGATTACAGTACAATTTAATTCTATTTATCAATGCTTTAAAGCCATCTGCATTGTGTAAAATACAGTATAAAAAAAAGAGTTGACATGATTACTGCATTAAATATCATAGTCCTCAGATGTAAACTGTTCGAACATGAGTTATGCTTCTCATGATCTTAAAAAGGCCTCTACTTTAGTTTAAATTGTATTTTAAAATGAATAGCGTTTAGATAAAGAGAGTCTGTCATCAGAATGATTTGGTTTAATTCCCTCCAGAAGCATCTCACAGTATGTCTGGTCTTCTGTCACAATCGAGTTGTGAACACACACAAGGATGAAGATGAGAGCAAACAATGAAGCTAAAATTAGCTGAAACTAACGAGTGTCCATGATAACCAACCAACTAAGGAAATACGGTACTGACTGAAAACAAGAGTCCATGTGGTGTGAGTGTGTGACACTGAAACGATTGTGTTCCCAAACACCAGCATCCCGGAAGGCGGATCCTCAAGTCCTGATGACAAGGAGGCAAAGAGGATGAGGAGGTGGCAAACGGTTGGCAAAACAGGGAGAGGACACAGGAGGAGGTTCTGGAGGTGGACGGCCGACCAGGGGCAGAATACAGAAGTCCAGGGTGGAGCAGATGATGGAGAAAGCCATTGAGGAGAGGAACACACAGCTGAGACTGCACCCCATGGCCCAGAGGCAGAAGGCAGAGCCATGGGCTTCCCACATCCAGGAAGAGATGGCTCCCAGCAGGCCCAATGTGGATCCATGCCACTGAGAGGATGCTGAGGCCAAACTGAAGGGCTGATGGGAGGCAGCGATGACTCGGTGGCAGGCGTGGCTTGGGACTAGAGAAGGGCTTGGAGAGGGATCTAACAAAAAATAAAGTCTCAAAAACATTTTGGAGAGGTGGTGGGAGAGGGAGGTTGGGTGGCACCAGTGGGATCAGGCGGTAACCAGGGGGGCAGAAAATCAACCTCTCCAAAATCAGAACTGTTCTCCAGTGCGATTGTCCAACACTCTCAGTGACGGGAGGACACGTTCACATCCACTCCCTCAGCGATGGATGAAGCAGCCACTCAGGCTCCGTGACGGTGTTCAGTCGCTCTTGTTAGCGCTAGCTTGCACGTCGCGGCGGAGACGCTCTCGTTGCCTGCGGTGGGCTCGGGCTGCCCATCCCCACGGTCTAGGAGTTGTTGGCTGGGCACTGGATCGTTAGTGGGTGGTGGGTAGTTAGTGTTGTCGTTGACAATGTCCACTGTGAGTGGCGAATCACAGGACACCAGTCCCACACCACGCATCTGGGTAAGCTAACCTCCAGGGCCTTCCCCGGACAGATGCTCTCTGCTGCCGGTGTTGAGTCCGGGTTAGGGTTAGGGTTAGCTGGCATGAGGAATTCCTCAATGTTCCTCAAGGGAGTGGTCCTTCTACTCAAGGCATAACAGTTTGACTGCTCACTGAATATAAACCCAACAGATCGCTCAGATCATTAGGATCACGTCAGCTAGAAACACCAAGGGTTCACTGTAAGCATGGAGAGTCTGCTTTTAGCTGGACCAGCTTCCAGAGGAGATCAGGTGTGCTCCTACAGCATCACTTTCAAATCCAGACTCAAAACACTTCTGTTCAGCTGTGCATTTACTGAATGAGCACTGGGCCACTTTACATCTGACTGTTACTGCACTTCATTTTATTCTAAATGGTTTTAATTTACTGTATTATTATTTTTATTTTTCATTATTTCTTATTTTTTATCCTAAACTGTTTTAATTATTCTGATTTCTTTTGATTATTTTAATTTCTTCTATGTAAAGCACTTTGAATTGCCATTGTGTATAAAATGTGCTATATAAATAAACTTGCCTTGCCTTGCTGCCTACTGGTCCATATAGCAGAAAGACCAAAAAACACACACTCAAAGAAAATCTAACAAAAACGCTAACAAACACGCCGCTTATCTTGCCGTAGGTCTGGTCTTCTGTCACAATCAGGTTGTATAAACACACATGAAGGTGAACGTGAAAGTAAACAGGTAAACTTTAATATTCTACACATTAAGTCCAGCAAAGCGTAAAGCAATCCAACACGACCGTAGTACAGACGAGACCAGACAAGGACACACAAAAAAAGAACTGAACTTAATTTACTTAGTAGGAGGATAATTAGATGTTTAATTAGTGTGCAGCTGACACTCATGAGTGTCCATGACAACAAACAAATGAGGGAAAAGCTGAAAACAAGAGTCCATGTGGTGTGAGAGTGACACTGACACGATTGTGTTCCCAAACACCAGCATCCGAACGCAAGAGAACAGGACAGCATTTATTTCCCTGTGAGACAAACTCATTTATGATGGAGGAAAAACAGCCCGATTGCAGAATCTTATTACTGATATTTTGTGCCAGGAAGTGATGATTTTGTTCTCTTGAACACATGGGATGGAAATGCTGCTTTATTCAAAAATGCTTCAAGCCATATTCCAATTTTGCAAGTTAAATTCCCAACTTTGAATGGAGGCATCACTAGTGTGATCCTGAGACACGGAGAGACTTCAGAACCTGCACTGTTTGCTGTTAATCAAAATAATCTAATCTAAATCAACTGGATGTAATCAAGTAAAAAATATATAACTTTGTGGTTGAGTGGTGTTAAATAATTAGTTAAATCAGACAGAACCGGCTCTTTCCCCAGTGCAGATGACTGTGCTATATGCATTACGGTGAAGAACAGACAGGTCACCGCTTTGTGAATGTGTCTGATCGGTGCGACGGCTCACCTTGTCGTACATGCGGTTCAGGAGACGCGGCACCACGGGAAATATCGTGGGTCTGAGAGCCTTCATGTCGTCAGGAAGGAGACGGATGTCGCCTTGGAAAAAGCCAATCCTCCCGCCATGGCAGATCACCACGGACTGGAATCAAGGGAACGTGAGACAATACATATTCAGAAATATGATCAAATTGACTCTGAACTGAATAAAGGCTTTATTGCCCTCTATAGAGCTGGGTCACAGATTAAATGAAACTGGTCTCATAATTAATGAAGCAGCTTTGAAACGATCTGTACGGCTGTAGGAATGAAGCCTTCGTGCTCTGGTTCTGCTGGTCTGGTGTTGTGTTGATTTCATCTCAATGCAGCATTCACCAGAACAAAAACACCAGTCTCAAACCTCCGCACACTTCAACACACACTTCAGCCTTTTTATCAACTCCCTAATTGGCTGTTACACTCCATAGAAGAGCAGAAAGAAGACAGCTGTGGTTTTAGATCGTTTTAAAGCATTGAGGAAATCAACTCTGAAAAGTAGAAGGTGAAATCACCTCAAAGAATATTCAGGCCTTCAAGAAGAGACTAAACAAACATCTCCTTAGCAAAAAACTGTGATATCTTGATGCTTATTGCCACTTATTACACATTCTTAGTTCTGAGTAGCTGCAGATCACGATAGGCTCTCAGGCCACAAACTGTTAAAGCCTGTATCTGCCAAAGCACAAATAAAATAAAAAAACAAACTCTGCGGCTCCTTTAAGAGATTGAGATCAGTGGGTCACACTCGGCCATGGCCTTGAAAAGCCCGGGAAAGAGGAAGTGCTCAGTCTTCTAGTGTGTGTGTGTGTGTGTGTGTGTGTGGGTGTGGTTCCAGGCCCTTGTTAGTGCTCACGGTCGGCACACTGCCAGACTGTAACCTGATCCCGCAGAAGAGCTGAGGACGTGTGTGTTTCTCATTGGATGAGCCGTGTTGAGCATCTTCTCACGCGGGTCTCACCTCAATCAATCTCTCGAACATGTGAGCAAGAGGCAGGAAGGAAATGAGAACGTCGTCTTGATTCGGAAAGATGACTTTCTGCAGACAGACACACAGAGAGGCTGCGGTTAGTCCGATCGCTGTCTGTCGACACACTTCAGCCGTCGCTCGTGTTTACAGAAATCACTCACATCGGTCACTTTCAGAAAGCCGGCAAAGTCTGCCACAACGTTGCCGTGGGTCAGCATCACTCCCTTCGGATCTCCTGCGAAACACACACACACACACACACACCAGTATTGAGCTCGGTGTTGATGTCTTTTCCACAGGGATGTCAGTCTTTCAGTCACATGCTGATTTTCATTGTTGTAGTTTTATTATCGCAATAAGGCTATAATGCTGTATAGTATCATTCAGAGACAGTAATATTCAGGACTAGTTCTTTTGTTTTCATTGAAATTGTAGTTAAAGTGTTTGGTCACACTGCATGTGTCTTTGTGTTGAAAACTCTTGGATCAACACCATCTCAGCCATTCAGAACCGTCTTTCGTTTGGTTTATCAGTGGCTAATTGGTTCGATCTGTTCGATGGATTTAAAGGGAGGTCCTTCATCATGAGTTTCTTTTAAAAATCCTATTTTTGTTCAATTCAAACCGTAGGAATCGATTGGAATTGCCCAGCTGGTACGACAGTAGCGTTACGGCGAGGTCGGGTTGGGTGGAGATGGGTAAGTCAGGACAGGTTTGATGACATTTTCAGGGTGTAATTATAGATGCAATTACAAACATTCAAATGCAGGTATTTTTAATTATCAGTACAATGTAAAAACATGTATGTACACAATAAGTTCATTTAAATGTTTGTACGTAGTCATTAAAGACACTTAATAAACTGTGGGACCGAGTTGTTTTTTAGTCATTTTAAACTAAATGAGAAATGTTGGCAACTAGCAGAAAAAGTAAGTTTTAAGGTTTTTTATATTTTATTTCAGCTAAAGTTTATTTAATTTCAAGTGACAATGTTTTTATGTTTAACCGCAGTAACTGCCAACCCAACACTGACGGTCTTCATCTTCAACTCTCTAACCCTAACCCTACACTAACCCTAACCCTAACCCACACTAGACATCTGGTTTTAAAGTGTCAGGTCTAACCCTAACCCTAACCCTTCAGCTCTTCTGAATGCTGGGAATTCTCTTGAGATGAGATTAGAGTTAGAGTTAGTTTAGTTTACTTTAGGTTACAGTAGGTCAGTTTAGTTCAGTTTACTTTAGTTTAGTTTAGTTTACTTTCGTTTACTTTACTTTACTTAAGGTTAGGTCAGTTTAGTTTAGTGAAGTTTAGGTTATGTCAGTTTAGGTTGGGTCAGTTTAGTTTAGGTCAGTTTAGTTTAGTTAAGTTTAGGTTATGTCAGTTTAGGTTGGGTCAGTTTAGTTTAGGTCAGTTTAGTTTAATTTAGGTCAGATTAGTTTAGTTTAGATAAATTTAGATTATGTCAGTTTAGGTTAGGTTAGGTTAGGTTAGGTCAATTTAGTTTAGGTCAGTTTAGTTTAGTTAAGTTTAGATTATGTCAGTTTAGGTTATGTCAGTTTAGTTTAGTTAAGTTTAGATTATGTCAGTTTAGATTATGTCAGTTTAGATTAGGTTAGGTTAGATCAATTTAGTTTAGGTCAGTTTAGTTAAGTTTAGATTATGTCAGTTTAGGTTATGTCAGTTTAGTTTAGTTACATTTAGATTATGTCAGTTTAGATTATGTCAGGTTAGGTTAGGTCAATTTAGTTTAGGTTATGTCAGTTTAGTTTAGTTAAGTTTAGATTATGTCAGTTTAGGTTATATCAGTTTAGTTTAGTTAAATTTAGATTATGTCAGGTTAGGTTAGGTTAGGTTAGGTCAATTTAGTTTAGGGTTAGGTCAGTTTAGTTTAGTTAAGTTTAGATTATGTCAGTTTAGATTATGTCAGTTTAGGTTAGGTTAGGTCAATTTAGTTTAGGTTAGGTCAGTTTAGTTTAGTTTAGTTAAGTTTAGATTATGTCAGTTTAGGTTAGGGTTAACCTGTGGCAGAAGAGTTTGTGGAGCAGCATTGACTCACCTGTGGTTCCACTGGTGAAGCAGACGATGGACAGGTCATCTGGTGCCGGCGGCTACGACGACAACACAAACTGTTACTGGACACATCTAGCTAGTGCTCAACAAGATGAAGTCAATGAAGTTCACCGATCAAAACACCGAAGCACTGATGAGATAATCGCCTGGTCTCGTTAAGACACACAAGCAACTTTACACTGGCATTCATGCATTATGCATTTAAGATTTTTAATTTAATTTTATTTCTATAGCACAATACGACAAAATATCAAGAAAAACCGCGAGAGGAAGTAATCGTGTCTTCAGATGTGAGTGTAGTACCACTCCTGACCTCAAGGGGCAGACTATCCCAGAGACTACAGAGACTTTAGAAGAGTTCACAATCATCTACTCAGAGGCCTTCCTATCTAATAAATCTAGCAATAAATCAAATGAAATGAAATGAAAAACGAAACGAAAAACTCAACAGTGGACAGCTGCTATTGGGCGGCAGGTGTCACCTGACTTATGTAAATTACATGACAATAAAAACATTAATAGAAGTGACGTCAAAAAGAAATGTTATCATAATGACTACTTTTTTCATACTATTTATATATATATAACATTTGTAGAACAAAACTTGCAAATTATGACAACTTTAACCAATAGATCTGTTCCAGTTTGGACTGTTAGGCTGTTTTCGGACTGGCAAATTACCTTTTTGGGCAGTCTGTCCGCAAATAAGATTTGGGTTTCCAGACATAAGTAACTTATCTGCATGGGTAGCTTTGGGAAGAACGCAGGCGTACACACGTAGGTAACGAGGCTCTCCGAACGGATGCAGGACAAACAGAGCCGCATCATCTCACTCTTCGGATAGGCGCCCTGTCAAGTCCAGTTTTGCCGTTATCGTTGTGTGTCACATTAAGAGTGAGAAAAGAGTCTATTTGAAATCTAATTTGATCATCCAGAGCGCCCGGACTGAGATGCATCTGTAGAAATCGGATTGGAATCACATTTCAAATCACCTCCTAATGTGGTTTGTATCAAATTTCATGTTTTCTTTTTTTTGCTTTCCAGACTTTCAAAAACCCATCTGGGTCTGAACATGCCTTAATGTGAACTCCTTATTAAGTTGGCTTGAGAAAGCCAACTTACTGAAATCCTATTTAAACTTATTAGTGTGAATGCTTCAAGCATTCACACTCTTGAAATCCAAATCTTTCTTATTATTATTATTCCGTATTCTTCCGTACGTTTTTCGGTCGCTTTCTTCTCCTCTCTACTTTGTGCTACAAAAACCATTCAAGTATCAAAATGTGCAGCTTTTCAAGGACATGTGTGCTATTACTTTTCTTTTTTATAACCTTTATAATTTTTAAATTATTAAACTTTTTGTGCATATTTTTTAACATGGAAGTCAATGGAGAATTCTTCAAATTCTGTTTTATGCTCCGTCTGCTTTCAAAGCCTACAACTTCTGCATACTTTCAGCTATTTCTGTCATTTAAACTTTAAAATGTTGAGAAATTTGTAAGCTATTAAAGTTGTATTCAACTTTTTGATATCTATTATACTTTTTTCACAATCTCTACTTTAGTCTCATGATGTTTTTCAACCCGTTTCTGAAATTATAATGGGAGTGAATGAGAGAGACTGTTCAGAGCTAGAGCACGTGCTAGAGTGAGCCAGCTTGAAACCTAATGCTAAAAAATAATTTTTAAATCGCTGGCCTGGCCACAATTTTCACTCTTTGGGCATAAAATTATACTTGAAACGTAGGTATTTTTGTTGTGGTTCCTCTCATGTGTTTAGTAAATCCCTGGGACTTATAGTTTTTTCACTGTGTCCTTCCAAAGGACAAGAGTGACAGACATTCCTCCATTGGCAGCAATTATAAATTCAGGTCAAACTTTTGTGATCAGAGCAATACAAACCAGTTTTTTAACTTGCCAAAGTGGTCCCTTTTTTTAACTCTATCCACAAAAAAAATACATCACATCGTTCACAAAGGCCTTGTCTCGCTCACGGTCAGGTCATTTCGCCAATACAACCTATAGTTTTGTCTCTATTGAGGTTTGTTCGAGGCCAAGTATCAGCAATTTTGGCCTATGTCTAAATAGGAAAGCTGATTGCACAGGTGATGCTGATTAGCAAAGATCAAAGGGAGACACACATAACTGGTCCTGTGTTCTGATTGGTGGACAGTCACTCAGCTCTTTTCTGAAGGATACTACAAGTTTTTGTTGCATTTATGCCTCTACTTCTCCTGTTCTCCCTCTCTCTTCCCTCCTCTTCTCCTCCTCCAATCCTCTACTCCTCCTGCCCTCCTATTCTACCCTCCTTTCATAATCTCTTCTCCTTTCTACTCTTCCTTTTATCCTCTTCTATCCATCTGCCTGTCTTAACTATTTGACTTTCTGTGTCCAAATGATCTATCGATCTATGTATAGACTATGTATGTATCTATCTGTGTATCTATCTGTGTATCTATCTATCTATCTATCTATCTATCTATCTATCTATCTATCTATCTATCTAACTAATCCATCTATATTTCTAACTAATCTATCTTTCTTTCTTTCTAGATAATCTATCTTTCTTTCTAACTATACTATCTTTCTTTCTAAATAATCTTTTCTTTCTAACTATACTATCTGTCTTTCTTTGTAACCAATATCTTTCCTTCTTTCTTTCTAACTAATCCTTTCTTTATTTCTAACTAATCCTTTCTTTCTTTTTTCATCCTTTCAAATCCATCTTTCTTTCTAACTAATTCTTTCTTTCTTTCTTTCTTTCTTTTAAATTCATATTTCTTTCTTACTAATCATTGCTTTCTTTCTTTCTTTCATCTATCTATCATCTATTTTTCTTTCTTTCTTTCTTTTTTCTTTATTTCTAATAATCTATCTATCTATCTATCTATCTATCTATCTATCTTTCTTTCTTTCTTTCTTTCTACCTAATCTTTCTTTCTTTCTTTCTTTCTTTCTTTCTTTCTTTCTTTCTTTCAAATTCATATTTCTTTCTTACTAATCCTTTCTTTCTTTCTTTCTTTCTTTCTTTCTTTCTTTCAAATGCATATTTCTTTCTAACTAATCTTTCTTTCTTTTTATCTTTCTTTCTTTCTTTCTTTTTCTTTATTTTGAATAATCTATCTATCTATCTATCTATCTATCTATCTATCTATCTATCTTTCTTTCTACCTAATCCATCTTTCTTTCTTCCTTTCTACCTAATCTTTCTTTCTTTCTTTCTTTCTTTCTTTCTTTCTTTCTTTCTTTCTTTCTTTCTTTCTTTCTTTCTTTCTACCTAATTCATCTTTCTTTCTTTCTTTCTTTCTTTCTTTCTTTCTTTCTTTCTTTCTTCTTTCTTTCTTTCTTTCTTTCTTTCTACCTAATCCATCTTTCTTTCTTTCTTTCTTTCTTTCTAATAATCCATCCATCCATCCATCTATCTATCTATCTATCTATCTATCTATCTATCTATCTATCTATCTATCTATCTATCTATCTATCTATCTATCTATCAAATCCATCTTTCTTTCTAACTAACTAATCCTTTCTTTCTCACTAATTCTTTCTTTCTTTCTTTCTTTCAAATCCATCTTTCTTTCTAACTAATTCTTTCTTTCTTTCTAATCCATATTTCTTTCTTTCTTTCTTTCTTTCTTTCTAACTAACTAATCCTTTCTTTCTTTCTCTCTCACTAATCCTTTCTTTCTCACTAATCCTTTCTTTCTTTCTTTCTTTCTTTTAAATCCATTTTTCTTTCTTTCTTTCTTTCTTTCTTTCTTTCTTTCTTTCTTTCTTTCTTTCTTTCTTTCTTTCTTTCTTTCTTTCTTTCTACCTACCCCTGTCTTTCTCTACCTTTCTTTTTGTACTCCTTTACTTCTCTACCTCTGTCTCTTTCTCTACCCCTATATTTCTTTACCTCTGTGTCTACATCTCTACCTCTCTTTACCTCTCTAAGTAAACTTGTAGTTTTCTACAATTTTTGGATCTTGTTTTGCATTTCAGCTTATTAAATGCATTTGAATTAAGCTTTTTTTTCTTTTTTGCTCTGTTTTGCTGTTGTTTGAACTGCAATATTTTTTTTTTTTAAGCATTTCAGTTCAGCTTTTGAAGCATTCACACGCATATTCCGCAGGAAATGCAATTTTTCTAGTTATTATTAGTGGTGCTTGCTGAAAGCAAGGCAACACTATTACTATTGTGTTTTTTGAGTCGGCCCAAAAGTTTGGCACGCTACTCCTCCCGCAGTTTTTGTCACACACCCATGAATGAGGTCTCAAAACGTGCGGAATATTCGGGAATGGTGTGCTATGACTTTTCTAAGCGATCGGGGGTACGATGTTCGCCCGAAGGGCGAACAAATTTCCCAAAAATCCCATAGACTTAACATTGCGACAAACTTTGACGACTCATAGCTCCGAGCGAGGATTTCACAGAAGCCTGCGATTTACCACATTTGAAGAGGCTGACAGGCTCTGTAAGAACATACCTCACAATGGGGTAAAAGTTGCACCCCTGGGGGGCAGGAGCTGCCCAAATTTTCCCCCATTGACCCCAATGTTGTTTATTAGTGTGAATGCTTCAAGCATTCACACTCTTGAAATCCAAATCTTTCTTATTATTATTCCGTATTCTTCCGTACGTTTTTCGGTCGCTTTCTTCTCCTCTCTACTTTGTGCTACAAAAACCATTCAAGTATCAAAATGTGCAGCTTTTCAAGGACATGTGTGCTATTACTTTTCTTTTTTATAACCTTTATAATTTTTAAATTATTAAACTTTTTGTGCATATTTTTTAACATGGAAGTCAATGGAGAATTCTTCAAATTCTGTTTTATGCTCCTTCTGCTTTCAAAGCCTACAACTTCTGCATACTTTCAGCTATTTCTGTCATTTAAACTTTAAAATGTTGAGAAATTTGTAAGCTATTAAAGTTGTATTCAACTTTTTGATATCTATTATACTTTTTTCACAATCTCTACTTTAGTCTCATGATGTTTTTCAAGCCGTTTCTGAAATTATAATGGGAGTGAATGAGAGAGACTGTTCAGAGCTAGAGCA